CATCACTGCTATAGGGATTACAGTGAAAATTACTAGAGAGATTTAATTTACATGTCTGAATTGCATAGAAAACCAAAGCATTTGTTGATTAGTGTAATTTGCTAGAACTACTAATAAACCTACTGAATGGATTGTCAATTTTCTGTGGGTCAACTTTTAATGGCTGTTCTTGGAATGACTGTAATTTGAATGTTGGACCAGGACTATGTTGCAAATCTGGAAGTGCCCTTGCCTGTTATTTTTTCAGAAATGTGGAAGGCATTATGAAAGTTGTACTTCAACACATCTGGAGAGAGCTGACTTCCAAAGGGTTGCCCATATACATGTAAAATGCTGTCTTTTAGTTTCAGTATGTTCTTCTCTCAGTAGAAAGATGGGACACTGTGACATGCTGCTTAGGTTGTTCTGTTTGTGTCAAATATTTATATCTTTTATGCCACAGCTGCCTCCTTGAAACAAAGCAAAATTAATAGACAATCTTTCATTATGTCAAAAACTGACAAAACTATTCTGCATGCAAAGTCCTTTTGACTCTTTTTTTAAATTGTGATGCCATCTGATACCTCCTGTGCTTCACAGGTAAAGATTTTTCTGCCTAAAAGTGTAGATTGCTAGAGAGAGGAGTTAAAATGCATGTTGTGTCAGATTTGCATGTCTTCAAAGCATTTTTTAAAGGTTTTCTTGACTACCATAAGGGGAATGCACTATTGGGGGCTTATAGGGATAAAGTAGAAGAAGAGTACTGTAAGTTGTACTGTAAAATGATTTTAACTGGATAGAAGGGATTGATCAAGATCTGAGGGGTCATTCAAGAGACCAAGATCAAAATTAAAATCTGCCCTTAAAAAAACTAAAAACCGATTCTACATTTAATATGGAATTGGATACAAACTTAAACATGATTCAAGTGGTCGAAAAGAAAAAAAAAACAAAGGATGAAGCTTGTTATAATGATTATGGTGAAACCAGTTGTGAGTAATATGCCTGAAAATATTTGGATGCCCACAAGATGACAGGAAAGAATATATATCTGATGCCATTTAGTGGATATCTGGTTTTTTGGTAGTAATCTTTGGCTGTATGATTTTTCTAGTACATCTTAATTCTATTAAGTTCACTAAAGACAAATGATGTCCAATGAAGGTTATCATGTATTATGGCATGTGGTTTTCCTCAGACTCCTTGGGATCCAGAAGTTGATCTTTGGTGGCATGACATCATGAAAAATGCTAGCAAGGAGTGTGAGCCTGTCTGGTGTGATGCAGAAGATGAATTGTTTATTCTCTACACCAGTGGATCAACAGGGAAACCGAAGGTATGTTAACATTTTCCTAGACTGGTGTTTAGAGAAATACAGTACTGCTTTTGTCAAATCATACTATTACTGCTTGGTGCTATGTCTACACTTTGTTTTTAAACTTCATTTGTTTATAGTTCTACTTGAGATAGAGTACTGAATCAATGATAATTATAATAATGTAATCAAAGAATGCCATGCTTTCTACCCATTCTGTTCCATTAATTTGCAGAGCTCCAAAAACTCTGGAGCTGACACCTTTGAACACAATAGAAGAGAATCTATCACAAGGTTGAACTGTGGGATCTTTAGTGCTTAGTCCTTAAAAGGGAGTGGAGGTTTGCAGACTTCGCTCTTTTGTAGAACTGATGATGTTATCTAGTTTGGTAATGAAATGTCTGCAAGAAAACAACCAAGCTGAGAGAGCACCCCATCTTCAAGAATGGCATATTGAAGATTGGTGCTGGTTTTGTCTTTTTATTATAAAACCTACATAGAATGCTATAATTCTAAATGTACTGTATTGGGGAGGCAAATCATAGCCTAATTAGTCTACTGTGGAATTCTATGGAGGGTGGCAGAGTACAAATAGAGGCCTGTGTGGGCAATAGGATATAGATACATGCGCTTTTTCAGTAAGAATTAATTGTGAAGTGATTGATAAAACTAAAGGGAACATTTCAGAAAATTTATTTATTTCTTTGGAAATTTTATATAGTAGCTTATCATAAGCAAATAACCCTGGGCAATAATAATACAAAACCAAAATAAAACACAAACATACAGTTAAAAATCAATAAATACAAAAGCCAAGGTGTCGAAGATAAAACTCAGTATTCCAAATGCACATATATAGGGTACTGCTAACAATCCAGCCCTAACATCTGAAGGAAAAACTAGGTTTTTATAGCTTCACTTCATATTTTTCTGAAAAATCTGATCATACCTTGTAGACGTGCATTGGAATATGATAAATTCAGCAAGTTAAAACTAATTTCCTGCTGGCTGTTATATCTTAATATACTTTTGCAATGCTGCAATTTCTGGCCAATGAGAACTAATTTATGTTTAAATGTTCCTCTGCATGGATATTTTGTATTCTATATTTCAGGGTGTTGTACACACAATAGCTGGATATATGCTTTTCACGGCTGCTACATTTAAATATGTTTTTGATCATCATCCTGAGGATATTTACTGGTGCACAGCTGATATTGGATGGATAACTGGCCATTCCTATCTCACATATGGACCCTTGGCAAATGGGGCAACCAGTGTCTTAGTAAGTTCTATGATAAAGTCTGACTGTATGGAAACATCAAGTCTTAACTCTTTTGTAGAGTGAATGGTATCAGTTTGTCTTACAACTTTCTTAACAGAAATGAGTGAGGACGCAGTTAAGATAATTGAAAAAAATAGCTCCCTAAATTATATTTTGACTCAAGATCTGATGCTGATTTTTAAAAAAGAAGAATTTTTTCTTGTTTTGACAGGCTTAAAAGAAAGTTTCATGGGGTTTCTTCTCCACTCTATGCTTTAGTGTTGTGGAGGTTTTCCTCTGCTAAGCAATATTTCCTGAACTTTGGGAGCATAATTAGGCTGTAAAATGTGGATCCATGTGCTGAAATTAGCAGTCAACATGGTACATTGTTAATTGCTATCTCTTTTCAGTTTGAAGGGCTCCCTATTTACCCAGATGTTAGCCGTATGTGGAACATCATAGACAAGTACAAGGTGACCAAGTTCTACACAGCACCCACTGCCATTCGTCTCCTCATGAAATATGGAGATGAACCTGTCAAGAAGTAAGCATGACTTTAAGGAAAACAATAAGACTGATTGCCTGTAATTTTCAGGAATGTCCTTTGGAAATACATATGTAGCCCTGGTTTAGAGCACTAGAGCAAAGTAGACTATTCCAGTCAAATCCCTAGGCATCTGTGTTTTGGCTACATGTTTATACTTAACTTTTGTCCTGAATGTCAAAGCCAGGGGAAAGGGGAATACATGTGGGTAGAATTGCATTTAGTTGGAGCTCTGGTGACTGCTAGAGAATGCCTGTCTGAAACTCCTTCAAATTTTAAAAAAGGTAAATTGAAATGTCATGGGAACATGGAAGAAAATGGGCACGGGGGACTGCAGGTTAGATCCCAGCCTCTCTGGAAATAGGACTGGAAACTATCCAGATTAGGGCCATATGATATTTTTCAGGCCAGTTGCGATGCCTGCATTTATATCAGGGCTGAACTCCAAGGGATATTTCATGGCAGGACAAAGAATCATGTATGATTAAGAAAAAAGCTAAATTTAAATAATATATTTCACCTTTTGTTGCAATAAAAATTATGGTTCAGTTCTAGAGAATCTGGGGGCTGTTTGTAAGTCTGTGGAGAAAAGTAACCTGAGACCTTATCCAGATCAGATTAGATGTTGTGCTAAACATCTTTATTTTTAATTAGCTTTGTTGAATGTTGTGGTAGCTGCCTCCTACATAAACTAATTCATGATTTACAAAACCAACATGGCTGTGTCCATGTAACCAAACCTAAGCAGGCTCCATCATATATTAGCACAGTTTGTGAACTCTGTCTGCTTTTATTGTTCAATCATCTGAGAGGGAGTAATATTCAGGATAAATACTGATCAGATCAGATCACTGAAACTGTCCAAATGTTTTGGATTTCAGTTTTTCTCAGCCTCAGGCAGCATGACATTAGCAAGCTATTATAGGAATTTACAAGACATTGAAATTAAATTGCCTTTGTGAAGGATAGATAGTGTGTTTTTGCTTTACTTAAGTCCACTTTTGATCAGGCAAAGGCATTGTAGATTTCTGAAAATGTTCTTGTTTATTCAGTTCTGGTAAATGGTTAGTTTTGAAATAAAATTGTAAAACAAGTTTTCCTTTTGGAACAATTTTCTTTTTAAAATTCATACCCTATTTATTCAGATACAGCAGGAAATCCCTGAAAGTGCTAGGAACAGTTGGAGAACCCATAAACCCAGAAGCTTGGTTGTGGTTTTATAGAGTAGTTGGTGAAGAACAATGCCCTATAGTGGATACCTTCTGGCAAACGGAAACTGTGAGTTCTTTATATTCAGCTTCCTTATTATCCTGTGAATTACTTCGTTATTTCTGTGATTCCTTGTTCTCCAAGGCCTGGATTTCACACTTACCTGCCAACTCATTACAGCATGTCATAATTTAGGTGCTGTTCCTTCGTTGTATATTTGTACCATGTAGTCTCTTCCCGAAGCTATTACTGCGTCTCCTTACCATCAGGGTTTCCAAAATCCTATTAGAATCCCTCAGGATTCCAAATCCTAT